AAATTTTACTAAAGACAGGAGGCAAATGGTTGAGGTTGAGCATGAGAGCAGGAGATTCCAAGAAGAGTAGAACAAAGTTGAATCAAATACAACCAAACGAAAACCATTGCAAACTAAAAAGGTCCGGATTAAACTGAAAGAAATAGAGAAACTTTGTGAACGTAAACTGTAATTGCAAAATGTCATGCATAATCAACATTGGTTAACATAAAAAGAACTAAAAATTATATCCACCCAACCTGGCACATACCTTGAGTGGGCCCAATTACACGTACTACCAAAAGACCCATTAGTTGTAGGACACGTTCAGAAACACATAACCAAAGGGGTGGTCGATAGTCCCACGTACCATTGGTAGGGTGATGAAGATAGCTTGGTACCATATAGTGATCTGACCAAAATTGTACATGTCTTTGCGGTTTTTAGAGCAGGCAGCCTCAGCTATATAATGCTAATATGTCCGTTAAGTCCGTCCTGTGAAAATTTCCTTTGTACACAAATGCATAAAGTTATAAATCCTGGGACCTGCGCGTCCACATTGTTTCAATTATACATTTGTTATAAACGGTTATATGAAACACAAAACTTCAATAAAAGAGATTTAAAAAAATAAAATAATTATATCCAAAAAAAAACAAGATACATAACAATGCAAAAAGGATACCAATAACCACACAACCATCTAAAAAAAAAAAAAAAGATTTTAAACATGAAGATAAATATCCCAAGATAAAGAAAAGGCGAAAAGGGTGGGTGGGGATATTTGCCTAGAATAATCTCCAATTTAAACTGTTCTATACTAAAAAGTGATCTAAGGTACAAAAAGAACAAGCATGCACATTCCATTGGTGACCTCTCCACTTAAATGCTTTGTTTTACTTTTTATAACAGAACACTTTGATAAATCTCCACCATTCTACATTAACTTCTGTATAATTATGCTCACTTTTTTTAGGCGCTCAGGTCATTACAGCAAGAACTTAATGACCTCAAATTACCAAAGGTGTTTTATCATTTACTGGTATGTTTTGTCTATCCCATGAGTTTCACACATCAGCTACTTAGCTACTGTTGGTTTACAGTGCAACTCCCTACAGTCTATGATGATGGTGGTTGGAATCTAACACTAGCTTGGGGTGGAAAAGACGGTGTGGGAGGGAGGGGAGTGACAAAGTTCAACACCTTGTTCTGCTTGTTCTTAAGCCCTGTCTTTTCAAGAAGAATCATTCACTAAAGGGGTGTCACTTGATGCAGGATGAACATATGAATTATCCACATTTTTGACACACCTTCCTTAAGAATTCACCCTCAGATAAATGAGCTTTTTGTACAGAGAACTTTTACGCCACTCCTTGTATATTTATCATATTGTATAGGATAGGCTATTTAACCTAGTGGTTTATTGAACAAGCTATATTTTTTTCCAAGGTGACAAGAATAAAATACATAATTTGTAATTAGCTAGAATAGTTCATTTGGAAAATATAAAGTTGAAGATTTTTGGTCTTAATTTTGCAAGTAAGTTGTCAACGTAGGTGTCAGAAAATTCTCATTAAATTTGTTTTACATAAATGTCCAAGCATTAACGCCCAGTCATTCATTTCTTAATGAAAAATATAAAGAAAATCAAAGGAGAAAAAAACAATTAAAAATTATGTTATACAGTGCCCTAAACATCTTGCAATCTATGAGTAATATAGAGAGTGAGAAAAAGCAGTGCAATAAAATGATTGTGGAATGTGAACCATTCATAATGGAATTTTAAAGGATAGAATATCTAGGCATTATGGATGGTAAACTTCTCTGAGCTTTCAGGTCAAGGAAATTCCTTACCAGTGCAGAGGTAATCAAAGGTATATCTCCAGATATTGTTAAGCTACATCTCCTTTAATGCTTTTGCCGCCTTAAGACTGGAAAAGCATCTTCAGAGGCCATCTCAGATCTTGAGGAGCACCAGGGCAAGCCCCACCCTCCATCCCCCCCAAAAAATCATGCCACGCTGCTAAGTATCCACATTAGGTTTAATGAAATTATTACTAAAGTGACACATCGGAGTCCTAAAGCATTATAACTTACTGAACTAATTTATGTATGAAGAATGTGTCCTCTTTTTTCATTTTACAAAAAGTGCAGATTTAAACAGAAATTGCCAAATGTATAAATAAGTGTGTTACACCCCCTGGCCATCAAGCAGACAACTGATCTTGTTACTTCCTGATTATTTAGCTCAGTGGAGCTAAACTCAAGAGGCAGCAATTGCTCAGAGCACCAGCCATGCAAATACTTTTTGAGCTGCATATGGAAGTCTGTGATTGGACAGTCACAGAAAGTGTGGGCTGGGTTAGAAGGGGAGGCCTTGCAGAGGCAACAGACAAGAGATCTGCTGCGTTTGCAAGCTGTTCTTAGATATACCCCAAATGAAAAAAAGGCATAGTTGAATTCAAGCATGTTTTCATTTGGTTTATATCTCCTAAACAGTGTTTTTTTTATTTTCATTTATTTATATATTTGGATAGTGAAGTGTCCCTTTAAGTAGAACAGCCTAGCTGCATTGGAATGACAGGCCTGAGATCATGCATACTTTCTAAGAAAGGTTCATTGGGAAACAAATGCTGTGAATGCTAATAGAGAGAATGTGGATAGGATGGGAGAGCATGCTCACTCTCATTCCAGTGCCACTTGCCCACACTGCTAAAGCAAGCAAGGGGGAGAAAAATCTGAATTGGCAGAGGGACGGAAGGGGTTCATTGGCAGGGGATCACAAATAGGGGGATATGAGCAGTGGGTAACAAATATTGGAAGATGTTCAGGGGGTCACGAATTGGGCACAGAGGATCTTTAATTGTAGGCATGGGCAGTCATGGGGATATGAGCAGATATAAAGTTATTATGGTGGAAGATTATGGGATGGCGATTCAACTACTTCAAAAACTTACTAGTATCCACTTTGCAACGCATCTGAACATTTAAGCTGGTGAAAAGGCCTTTTTTGCCTTTGCTAGAGTCTGCCACTAAGCACAAACACATATACATGACAAGTAAAATAGCTGTAAATGTATCAAAGTAAAATACAAATAGAAACATTGGTGGCATGCCAAATGATGTACATCACTGAAACGTACCACAGTGCTGTTTTATTATATCACTTGTTCATCTGAGTCTATGAGGATGTATCTAATTGCAGAATTAGAGAATGTGAGCTATTCACAGACCCAGAGGGTAGAAGAGCCCTGAAAGAAATATTCATGAGAATGTAATCTGGCGGCGCTGTGTAACCTTAAGACTGTCCCAAAAATTCAACTTGTGCTCTCGCTATCTTTATCTTTATCGCTATTTATCTTCTGATCGCTAATCAGAAGATAAATACACCATCTATGTTTCCCATGTTGTTTTGCTTCCTCTTTTCATGTAATAGAAATAATTGATATGATTAACCTTTAGCTTGGGTTAGTCATGTTGCCTAACTTGAGAAGATCAATGAAGCCCTCTCAGATGGTGCTACTTTTCATTGTGAAATGGTTATGTTAGCACCAATCGAATAATGGAAGGAAGCACCTTCATGTATGGCAGTGGTTCCCAACCTTTTTCACTTGAGTACCTCTTGGCAGTCCATTTCCATAAATATTAGCAAAATGTTTGTAATTAATATAGTTGCATTTATTTCAAATGTATAAGTTTTTCTATGTCCAATCTCCCCTTTTTAACTGCCCTAGGCTCCCCCTGCTTCTCCTCATCCCCAGGCTCCCCCTGCCTCTCCTCTGATCCAGGCTAAACCCTCTTCTTCTGCCCCAGGCTCCCCCTGCTACTCCTCTGCCCCAGGCTCTTCCTGCTACTCCACTGCCCCAGGCTTCCTCTGCTACTCCTCTGCCCCAGGCACACAAACTGTCACACATGCAGATACACACACACACACACACCCTGACACAAAGATACATACACAGATACACTGACACATAGACATACAGATAGAGACACTGACACACATGCAGACACATACCCTGACACACAGATAGACACACATACATACCCTGACACACATGCAGATACACAGTCACATAGATATATATATGCTGAAACACATAAAGGACTACTATAGTGCCAGGAAAACATACTCATTTACATGGCACTATAGTGCCCTGCGGGTGCCCCCACCCTCAGGGTCCCCCTCCCGCCCGGCTCTGGGGAGAGGAAAGGGGTAAAAACTGACCTTTTTCCAGCACTGGGCGGAGAGCTCTCCTCCTCCGATCCTCCTCTACTCCTCCCCGTCGGCTGAATGCGCACGCGCGGCAAGAGCTGCGCGCCCATTCAGCCGGTCACATAGGAAAGCATTCACAATGCTTTCCTATGGACGCTGGCGTGCTCTCACTGTGAAAATCACAGTGAGAAGCACGCAAGCGCCTCTAGTGGCTGTCAATGAGACAGCTGCTAGAGAAAATAGGGGAAGGCTTAACCCATTCATAAACATAGCAGTTTCTCTGAAACTGCTGTGTTTATGAAAAAATGGGTTAATCCTAGCTGGACCTGGCACCCAGACCACTTCATTAAGCTGAAGTGGTCTGGGTGCCTAGAGTGGTCCTTTAAGGATACATACATTGACACACAGATACACACCTTGACACAAATACATACATGCAGATACACAGACGAAAATATACATACACCAACACACACAGACACATACCCTGACACACACAAAGATACACACCCTGACACACAGATACATATACTGACAAACATGTAGATACACAGACACATATATACATACACTGACACACTTAAGGATACATACCCTAACACACACACAGATACACACATACATATAATGACACACAGATACACACATTGACATACCCTGACACACATATACACAAAGATACACTGACACTGACACACATACCTACACATACAGATACATAACCTGACACACAGATACAAATACACACGTGCAGATACACAGAGATACACACACAGAAACATATATACATACACTGACACACTTAAGGATACATACCCAGACACACATACAGATACACAGATACACACACAGAAACATATATACATACACTGACACACTTAAGGATACATACCCAGACACACATACAGATACACAGATACACACACTGACATACAGATATACACACACTGACACACAGATACATCTTGACACTGTCAGGTCTTACCTGAGGTGGGAGTCCGGTAGGCAGAGATTTGTGCTCACCCTTGCAGATAAACACAATCCAAGGTGATAAGGTTAGAAACCACCAGGACTGTGAATCTGTGCACGGGGGGCTGTGCAGGATATTCCTCCAAGTCGCAGTACAGCCTAGGACACAAGCAGGAGAATTGTTGAGGATAAGTCAAAAGTCAGGATAAACAAGGGTAAGCCAAAGTCAGAGGATGCCAGAGGTCAGGACACACAATAAGAATTAGCCAAGGTTAGGATCCAACTGGAGAACACTGGATCACGAACCAAACACAGGAACCAGAGTCAATGAACTGACCCTGCCGTCAGGGAGAGGACGTGTCTTATACCTGGCTAGATAGCAAGACTAGGAAATGGATGGACCACAGTTCAAATCCCCTTTTTGGCACTTCTGGGGCGACCATGTCTGGCTGTATGGATATCACAGTGAGAACCGTGACAGACACACAGATACATACACTGACACACATGCAGATACACAGACACATAGATACTTACCCTGACATGCAGACATATAGATAAATACACTGACATGTACATGCAGACATACAGATACAAACACTGATACACTGACACAAATGCAGATACAGATACATAAAGTGACACAAATTCATATAGTGACACACAGACACATACACTGACACAGATACATATTACAGGAAGTGTTTAGGAAGGCTGTGTAAGTCACACATGAAGAGGTATGACTTTGACTGTATTAATAAAGTGATTTAATTCTAAGGTTATCTTAAGGGAAATTAAATATTATATTCCATAATCATCTCTCACCATGTGATTTCTCCCTACTGTTTCACACCTTTCACTCTTTTCACTACCAGCAGAAGATGGAATATTGTCTTTAACCCAGAAAATAGAGCCTTGAAGACCATGGCGAGATATCCCAGACATCCATCTGTCCATCAACTGAAGCTGACCTAGATTCAGCTACAGTTACAGCTACAGTTGGATGGTTTGGAGTCCTACTGAAAATTATACATGAATTGTTTTGAACTGCATACACTGGATACCTCTAAACTCATCCCCTCATAAATCCTGGGCTAAAAGCTTGCATAAACCTGGGGTTGAGATAAACAAGCCTACGTGTGGGCTTACGTTAGTGCAATGATCTCATCATTGACGACTTTTTTTCTCCTCCCTCCTCTGCAGCAGGTTTCTCCAAGGCTTGGGCATCCTTGTAATTGTTGGTCTGGGTTTTGCTTAGCCCAATGTTAGCTGAAATTGATTGTCTGGGTGTCCAGCAGCCTTCCTGTTTTTGTAGCAGACCTTTCAGAAAGCATGCATTTGTTATAAATGTTTTCCTTTATTTGTTCTGAGACTGGTATGTCTTGTTGGACGGTATATAACTTTATTTTGATCTGAATTTTATAAAAATTATAGTTAAAATTAAATTTACAAAAAAAAGCTTGCATAAACATCCTACCTTCTTCCCTATTCTAAGCATCTCTTACTTCCAACTTTCAATCTTTAAATTTACTGCTCGTGTACTCACTTTACAATTAGGCTCGAGAGGAATTATTTTATTTTCTGTCGGGAATTTATTGATACCATTTGTACTTACCATCTCGGACCTCTGTCACAATGTTAATACCTTTTCCTGAAGTATGTGTTTACTTACAATTGCGCCTAATATTGATATTGTCTGTATGTAATGTGCTGCTACTCACATTTTCAATAAACTTCAAACATTGCAGCTCTGAATTTTTTATTTTTTTTAAAAGCTTGCATAAAATATAAGTATGGAGAAAAAGCTTCCTTTAAGTTGTGAGTTCAACTCTGTCGCTTATTAGAAGTTTGACTTGTGCGAACCATATATGCCAGTGTATTGGCTATAATAAAACACTCAATTCACACCTGTCAGCAGTCTTTATAACATACAGCATTCCAGAATGTATCAAGGCCTCAATGACGGAGACGGATAGGTAAATGCTGGTAATAATTCATATCAAGTGCCTGCCAGTTTCCGAACTATTTTCATCATTGGATTCATATTTCTTTCCCATAAGAAACTAACCTTGCTTTTTTACTAATAAAAACCAGATTGCATACCAATATATTGTCCATGATCCAGAGGCATAAATCAGATTTGCATTCTCTGATAAAGAAGATATTCAGGGCTTGGCTAGGTATATGCTACTTATATGTATGCATGAATCTGCCTTATTAAGTGTATGGGACTAATTATCTGTACACAGTCTGTATGTTACCATGTTTAGGTCTGGTATCAATGGATATAGCACAATATTTACTATGAAATCCAAAAAGATTGTGAATGACAGGAAACGATTTCCACAATTGTATGTTTGTTTTTTTGGAGACTTTCTATGTGTATAAAGAGGAAATAGTTCATAAAAAAAGACAGACACATTTCTAAAGGTTCTGTTTCACTCCGAGGCTCACACAAATTTGCATCACATTATTGAGAAACTGCTAATGTAATTCAGGTCTCTACGGCAGATGGTTGGACTGCATTAAAGAACATATATTACACAAACGCAGGGCTTTCGGTAAAAGGGTTAATGTACTCCGTTACATTTTCCTCTACATGTGCGGATCCTGGCATTGCATAATTTGAGCTCTAACTCTCAAGGAGAAGTAAAATACTTCACTCGAGAGCTTTCTGTAGGGCTACTATACAATTGTTGGTGCTCTCCAGTGACTGTGTCAGCATTGTGCACATGTGGTAAGATCTCCAGTGGCTTTGTCAGTATTGTGCACATGTGGTAAGATCCCCAGTGACTGTGTCATCATTGTGCACATGTAGTAAGAGCCTCACTGACTGTCATCATTGTGCACATGTGGTAAGATCCCCACTGACTGTCACAGCCTTGTGCACATGTGGTAAGAGTTCCAGTGACTGTGTCAGCATTGTGAACATGTGGGAAGATCACCAGTGACTGTGTCAGCATTGTGCACATGTGGGAAGATCTCCAGTGACTGTGTCAGCATTGTGTACATGTGGAAAGATCTCCAGTGACTGTGTCAGCATTGTGCACATGTGGGAAGATCTCCAGTGACTGTGTCAGTATTGTGCACATGTGGTAAGATCCCCACTGACTGTGTCAGCATTGTGCACATGTGGGAAGATCTCCAGTGACTGTGTCAGTATTGTGCACGTGTGGGAAGATCTCCAGTGACTGTGTCAGTATTGTGCACATGTGGTAAGATCCCCACTGACTTTGTCAGCATTGTGTACGTGTGGGAAGATCTCCAGTGACTGTGTCAGCATTGTGCACATGTGGGAAGATCACCAGTGACTGTGTCAGTATTGTGCACATATGGGAAGATCTCCAGTGACTGTGTCAGCATTGTGAACATGTGGGAAGATCTCCAGTGACTGTGTCGGTATTGTGCACATGTGGGAAGATCTCCAGTGACTGTGTCAGCATTGTGCACATGTGGGAAAATCTCCAGTGACTGTGTCGGTATTGTGCACATGTGGGAAAATCTCCAGTGACTGTGTCGGTATTGTGCACATGTGGGAAGATCTACAGTTACTGTGTCAGCATTGTGCACATTTGGGAAGATCTCCAGTGACTGTGTCAATATTGTGCACATGTGGGAAGATCTCCAGTGACTGTGTCAATATTGTGCACATATGGGAAGATCTCCAGTGACTGTGTCAGTATTGTGCACATGTGGGAAGATCTCCAGTGACTGTGTCAATATTGTGCACATATGGGAAGATCTCCAGTGACTGTGTCAGTATTGTGCACATGTGGTAAGATCCCCACTGACTGTGTCAGTATTGTGCACATGTGGGAAGATCTCCAGTGACTGTGTCAGCATTGTGCACATGTGGGAAGATCTCCAGTGACTGTGTCAGCATTGTGTACATGTGGGAAGATCTCTAGTGACTGTGTCAGCATTGTGCACATGTGGGAAGATCTCCAGTGACTGTGTCAGCATTGTGCACATGTGGGCATTGTGCATATGTGGGAAGATCTCCAGTGACTGTGTCAGTATTGTGCACATGTGGGAAGATTTTCAGTGACTGTGTCAGTATTGTGCACATGTGGGAAGATCTCCAGTGACTGTGTCAGCATTGTGTACATGTGGGAAGATCTCCAGTGACTATGTCAGCATTGTGTACATGTGGGAAGATCTCCAGTGACTGTGTCAGCATTGTGCACATGTGGGAAGATCTCCAGTGACTGTGTCAGCATTGTGCACATGTGGGAAGATCTCCATTGACTGTGTCAGCATTGTGCACGTGTGGTAAGATCCCCACTGACTGTGTCAGCATTGTGCATGTGTGGGAAGATCTCCAGTGACTGTGTCAGTATTGTGCACGTGTGGGAAGATCTCCAGTGACTGTTTCAGCATTGTGCACATGTGGGAAGATCTCCAGTGACTGTGTCAGTATTGTGCACATGTGGTAAGATCCCCACTGACTGTTTCAGCATTGTGCACGTGTGGGAAGATCTCCAGTGACTGTGTCAGTATTGTGCACATGTGGGAAGATCTTCAGTGACTGTGTTAGCATTGTGCGCATGCGGGAAGATCTCCAGTGACTGTCAGCATTGTGCACATGTGAGAAGAGTTCCAGTGACTGTGTCAGCATTGTGCACATGTGAGAAGAATTCCAGTGATTGTGTCAGCATTGTGCACATGTGGAAAAAGCTGTTTGCACCTCCTCTGGGCAAAGTTTTATTTCAAAATCCTTGGTTGGTCAAGGCTTGATAAGTGTAGAAAAGCACATTCACTAATGCAATACACCCTTTTCCTACATAGCACCACAATTATTGAATAACCTGCCGGACACTTTCAACTCTACCCACAACCTAAAATCCCTTCAGAAATCCACATATCTCAAAACAGAATGCACCTGTTTTCATGGTTGATTATAATTACTACATGCTCTGTGTTAAATGTATATATGTGTTGTGTATTAATATTATTTGGTATTTTTAACATAACATTATAATGTACCCTATTATAACGATGAAGTGTTAGTGAGTCCACGACATACTTGAAAACAAGAGAAATCTAAATGTATTCATCCTGGTAAAATATTTAATAAATAAATGTCAAGAAAGCAGTGCTCTGAGTTATTAAGGCTGTGTGAGTGTGGGCTGTGTGTTGCATTTCTCCCAGGGTAGAATGTTACGGAGGGGAGAAAGATTTAGGAGCATTGGAAGGAAATCTTAAGGAGCTGCCCTTGCAGAGAAGGAGGGAGGAAATGTGTTTATAAGAGGAATAGTTCAAGGAAAAGAATAGTGGAAATGGGTTAAATAGTGAAAAACAAGGGATAGTCCAGAATCAGAGGTAGAACAGTAGGAGGTGGGGCATTGGGAAAGCCCATTTGTTGGTGCTGTGTAGACTTCACAAATGAGCCTGATAAAGGTGCATTGTATAATTTGTAAATAGTATATCTTGCATTACAATAAAAACAGGTCACTGAACTAACTTTACAATTGTAGAATGGATTGCCAATAGCCGGTTATGAACCATTGACAATTTGACAAAGAAGTTGGGAATGGTAGGAGAGAGGGAGGCAAAAACCAGGTATAGAGGTAGAGGAAATCAGTCAATGAAAGCGAGAAAAGAACATAAGAGTAGGTAGAAGAAAAAGTAACCGGGGTGGAAAAGAAACAGTGGGTTATATTGCAGAGAGAGACAATAGGAAGAGAAAAAACATCTAGAGAAGTGGAATAATTTATAGGATGGGTAGAAATAGAGATCTAACCTATGACTGCTATCCATATTGAATGGTGATGATATTGGTAAAGAGGAAGAGTAGATTCCAACATATCAAGTTGTCTGATGTGAGGTAGGGCTATGGGCACTGGGGAGAGCTACCCCCAGTTTTTGTCAAATTGGTCCATAGCACCTTTGTACCATAACCACCACACTGAGCTTTGGAGATTATGGTGCTTGAAATGCAGCTACGGGTACCGCTCCACCATATTGTCCTGGACGCGTCATCTACACACTTTGATGGCACCATGTGAAATTCATATAGATTTTAAAATGCTACAAGAAGGAAATCAAGTCATGACTCAACGAGGAAGCCTCCAGTATATACAGTCTACATTCGTGAAAGCAGCTCTTTTCATGGGCTGCTCATCAACATTAATGGCAAGTATACTGCAAGTGAAGTGCTGAATAGTTTCTAGTTTCCCTTGTTGGTTTCAGGCACAAAGTACAGAGGCATACATGCATAGACAGTCTGAAGTAGATAATGATCAATTCATCTTCAATGAGCCCAGCAGATAAATAGGTTAAAAAGGCAAGTCAGTAACACAACTGAACGTGCAATAGGTAGCAGTACTTCTAACATGAAAAACATGAATATACATGTGACTAATATCATACGTGTGTAAAAAAAAAAAAAAAAAATCCAAATGCTTGATGAACAAGATGCTCCAGTTATATAAGTAAAACATTTTCCATTTTGTATTATGGAGGAGGGCACCAGGTCACTTCTGGCACCTTAAATACTGCAATGTGTTATGGTTAATTCAATTACAGTATTTCACATTGGGAGGACAGAAATTCTGCATAATGTATAGGGCGGGTAATCAGATTTTTTTCTTAATAAGCGTCTTGGCGTGACAAAATGGCAAACTTAGTATTAGATCTTGAATCGAATTTAATATCTCACCTAACTTCTGGCTAATG